TCAGATACAGTTTTGTCGTTAAGGATTTGGACATAAACTGACTTTCCAACTTCCTCCAAATTTCGTCTGGAGACGATAGATGCATGACGTGATACATGACCTCGTCCGCCAAGCATAATCGTATGGTTCCTGCCGCTCGCTGCTGCAATTCTTCCCAATCTTCCTCATCCATCGACGCCGGCTTTGTAGATCGCAAAGCCTTCAAGATCCCTTGCTGCGCCAATAGATCCTTCACCCTCGTTTACCATAATGCGAAGTTACCCTGACCATCGAATTTCGCGACTTCGAATTTTGCTCCTGAGCTCTGATACCAATTGTTGACGAAAACGGGTAAAGAAAACGAAAGAACACGAGAATTTTACGAGGTTCGGCAATGTGCTTACGTCCTCGGTGCCTAGGCGGCGCTAGAAGTTTTATTCAATGATTTTTTAGGTCTAGGTTACATCTCTATTTATAATAGAAAACCCTGGTACATAATTACAAAATCAACCCTGTACCGTACCGCGGGGGCTACGCCCCCCACCCCCAACCCACATAATTCGTAACCCCACAACGAGACTTTCTTTGTAAGGACAGTTGATGTTCGCTTCGCTCACTCCGCTCCATCTCCTGTCCTCTTTACTGGTATATTTATGAGCCATACCTAACAACTGCTGCTGGGATTGCACTTTTTGTTACATTTAGTTTATTGAGTTTATACTTTTGGTGTGAAAAAAGATTTACAATGAAACGTACTATTGGTCGATCTGATAATAATTTTAATGATTTAGAAGAACAAAGTAGAGCAAAATTGAGCCTGAGACCTAATACTGGTTCGATTTGGTTCGAACTTGCTGATCTTGAGAAGGCAACTGATAATTTTTCAAATAAGAATTTCATAGGGAGAGGAGGATTTGGTTTGGTTTTCAAAGTGATTTTTCCAGATGGGAAAGTGGTCGCAATCAAAAGGATTATAGAATCAGAGTTTCAAGGAGATGAGTTTTGCAACGTGGTTGAGATTATTAGCAACTTGAAGCATAGGAATCTTGTGCCTCTTCGAGGTTGTTGTATGATGGACGACGATGGAAGCTTTGATGAAAAAGGGAGCCAAAGGTACCTTGTCTATGATTATATGCCTAACGGAAATCTCGAAGATCATCTGTTCCAATCGAAAATGGCAAGTAAACCATTGAGTTGGCCTCATAGTAAGAATATAATCATGGATGTGGCAAAGGAGTTAGCTTATCTACACTATGGAGTGAAGCCTGCAATATGTCATAGAGATATCAAGGCTACGAATATATTGCTTGACGCTGATATGCGAGCGAGAGTGGCAGATTTTGGGTTGGCGAATCAGAGTCGGGAAGGCCAGTCTCACCTTACAACTCGAGTAGCTGGAACTCACAGATACTTGGCCCCTGAATATGCCCTATATGGCCAGCTTACTGAGAAGAGCGATGTTTACAGTTTTGGAGTTGTGATTTTGGAAATAATGTGTGGAAGAAAAGCTCTTGATTTGTCATCGTCGGACTCGCCGCGTGCATTTTTGATAACCAATTGGGCTTGGTCACTGATGAAGGCGGGAAAGACCGAGGTGGTTTTGGATCGTTCGTTGATTGATAATGGGGATTCAATGAATTCAATCCAAAGGCTATAATGGAGAGATTTGTTCAGGTTGGGATTTTATGTGCTCATGTAATGGTAGCTTTAAGGCCAAGTATTTTGGATGAACTAAAGATGTTGGAAGGTGATATCGAAGTTCCTTCGATCCCGGATTGACCAATACATCTCGGAAATTCTCCGTTTTACGGCAATGACAATGCTTCCAACATCCCGCGGGCAATAAGTCGACCGCTGCTGCATACGGGAGGTAATCTGTACTTTGCATTAGAGGCATTGTCATGATCACTGAAATGTAAATATATTTAAGTTCATTCTTTTCTATCTTGCAATACCCGTCTGTATATAAGGTTTGGATGTATAAGCAATTTAGGCATGGTGAATTCAGTTTATGAAAGTCTCGATATTTCTTTGAATTCTGGTTATGCAAGTTTCAACTCATCCAATTATGTGAAAAATTATATCTTTGATTATCAAATCTTCTATATCATAAAAAATATTAATCTTATGGAAATATTATAAAATGGTCTTATGAAATTCTAAATAATAATAAATTTTAATAATTATTTTATAATCATTTACAAATCTTAATAAATTATTGGGAAAACTATACCAGTAGTCCCTTTTGTTTTTGGTCTGATTGACTTTGGTCACCGGTTTTTTAATTAAGATTATTAGTTCATTCGGTTTAAGTCCCTCGACCGTTACCTTTCGTTAACCTAAAAAATAAAAAAATTCAAAAACACCCACGTGTTTCTTGTTGTTGTTGTTGCTGAAGTCACTTCCTAAGAGCTAAACTGAACCATTTATCTCTTGGTCTCACGCTTGAGGAAGACGATGAGGATGAAGATGGAGATGACAAACCGCTACAACTACGAGACGACATATAAGGAGGCCTTGATTCAAGTATTATTAAAAGACTCTTATAGGAAAGAATTCAGTGATTACTTATTTCAATTTTGTTGTTTCATTGTGAGTATTGCCATATTTTTAATTAACTTAAAAATGCAACAATCAACCTTTAGAGAAACCGAAATTAAGAAGTTGAAACCTCTACACGGATAGATTCACTGTAAGTAGAGAAACCATGAGGAACAATCGAAAGTTTATACACGAGTAATCAAAACAAGAAGAAAATCCAATAAGAAACAACTTCAAAAAAAGGGGAAAAACTAAATTAACCAGTGAAACTAAAAAATTCATGTATATATATATATATATCATAGAAGAAGCAAGGTTCTTAACCTTGAGGTCGTGGGATCGAGTCCCACGGAGGGCATTTTATAATTCGGAGGTCTCTTACGGAAGCTGCTCTCAACTTGTTGTTGGGTAGCTTACTATCTTACCTCCCCCTTACCCCATACATATGGAAAAAAGGGACAACCATTTTTATAGAAGAAGCAAGTATACAAATGTTATATTAAATATAAACCATCTAAATTACTGAGAAAACTCAGTTCAATAAAATAATAAAAGAAAAAGGTTTAGACTCTTGATTTCATATGCTGTCCATAATTAACTTGGTCTGGTGGTGTAAAAAGCACGTTGGTCTTTTTTCGTTTTTGTTTCTTATTTTTGCCTTTTGGGTCTCTCTTCATCCACTTTACTTTTCTCATGCGAAAATTGAATGACTTTCAAAGCAAATCTCAATAAAGCTTTATTGGATGGTTGTTTGGAATGGTTTATCAACTGGTGTATTGTCGTCTTAATGATAAAATGATTCATGGGTTTTGTTATGGTTTTTCAGGGGAAACACAAAGAAGAAAAGGTCAAAAAAGGAGTTAGCAATAAGGATCGAGGGGAAAGGACGGCCCCAAGGGAGCTCACATCCCACCTTCATCCTTTGTTAACCAAATATATTATTAAAACACCCATTAACAGTGGAAGTGATAAAGGGGACTTGAGACTTGGTATTCAAGAAGAAGAAGACGTGATAATGGGATTTGAGATTTGGTATTTAAGAAGAAGGAGAAGAAGGAGAAGGAGAAGAAGAAGAAGAAAGAAGAAGAAGAACGTGGGTGTAAAGAAGAAACACACGAGTGTTTTTGAATTCTTTTTATCTTTTAACTGCCAACTCATACATTTTGTTATTGGATTAACCGAAATTAACGATAGAGGGATTTAAATCTAATATATTATTAAAACACATATATATTACAATAATAGATGGAAATTTGCAGCAACTTGCTAGAGTTAAGATATATGGAAATTATTTTGTTTTGGATTAACCTAATTTTCTTTTAATGTTTTTCCCATATTTTTTTCTATTTGATTTTTGTTTAGCCGTTACTGACACTAATTTTAATGTTGGTTGTCGACTGTCGATGACTATTAGTTCTTTTTTTTATATTAAGCCTTTTATTTTCTTTTTTTAGTCTTTTTAATTTTAAATAAGAATCTATATCATTGTGACAAGTTTTTCTCCACTCTTGTGGCACGATCCTTGTGGGATTTTGTACGCTTTTTTGCATACATCTGCAGTCGTTTTAGTCCTCGCACAAAAATCATCACGACATTTATTTTTTGATTGGTTTGTCGGTGATTACGTATAGTCAGATCCCCTCTTTTGTTAAAGGTCGTCTGCCGACGTAATCAAAATTGTGAAGCGAAATAGTCTGTCAGATTGTTTGATTCACTCACCACCATTTATCATTGCGTAAAACTTCTCATTCGACAAAGATAACGAGTTTTTATGAAGGTTATTAGGTTTTAATGTTGATTGTCATTCTTAATCGAATGTTTTTTTTGTACCTTTATGTTTAATATTTTACTTTGTATAAGTATTTTGTGATTATTATCCTCAAAATTCTCTCTATATTTTGATGAGATATAATTTTGATTCATTATATTGTTAATAATAAAATCCAATTGTCATTATTAAAAAAACAATAATCATAACCAGCAATTCTTAGTATTAATTCTGTTATAATAATTAAATCAATGGACTATTTTGAGTTTAATTAAATATATATTTGATTTGAAATTATAGTGCACTAAATTAATTAATGAAGAAAATATTTTTTACTATGAAGATATTATTTTTTTTCTTTAAATAAATTTGAGTTGAATTATAATATAATATATATTTAAAATTCTCATAATTATTTGATAACGCACACAATCACACGCCCTATAAATATAATTGTTCGAACTCAAAATTTTTAAAAATAATAATATTTTCTATTACTATTAAAATCATTTGACTGCGAAAATAATTATATTGCATATGTTATAAAAAAAACGATTTCAGAATAATATTATCAACCATACAAAAATGCCTTATAGAAAATATCATTTTCTTAAGAAAAATCAAACTTATTTTTAAAAATACATATACAAAATCTGGCATGCAATATTAAGACAACGTCAGAGACGGAAAAAATTATAATAAAGGAAATAGAAGAAGGCTTCATGATGCAGAAAACACCCAAAAAAGCGTAAAAAATGAAAAAGAAAACCGTAAGAAGCAGTTCGCTTCCGATTCAGAAACATTGAAGAGTTGCAGTTGGAGATCTCAATTCTTCAATCCCCTGAAGGTAAGCTTTTCAAAAGAAATTTCTGTTTTATTTATGTTGTATTCTACAAATTTAAGCACATCCGTTTCTTAGATTTCCAAGTTTAATCAAGTCAATTTTAATTGATCTTCATCTCTCACATTGTAACATTTCCTTTTAATAGATACCTTATCTTCAATTCTTAACCTTTGTTTTCATTTCATTTTATTTTATTTTATTTTATTTTATTTTATGGGATGCGTTTTCGTGGGTTTTAATCTAAAAGAGAGCACTATTATGGTTTCTAAGGAAATGTGTATACAAGAAGAAATCAAAGTTTTTCTGTATTTGAATTTTCTCTGTTCTAACATTTGCTGAGCTTCGGTTATGTTTTTTTTTATTTTATTTAATTACTCAGAACGCAAATATTGGCATTATCGGTGGCCACAATCGTTGTTCCAAGTTAATCTGCATCTGGTAATTTTGAGAGATTTAGGTTTGAGTTTTCCAGTTTTGGCGAATAAATTGAAGTGTGTTATTTAAGGGAATGAGTTAGGTTAGATTATTTGAAGTATATTGTGAGGGTCGTCTTGATCTATTTCCTCTAAACTGTTATCCGCCCTAATTTTATTGGGAATTATGTGTATTTGGGGGTTTTGTTCTTTTACATTGTTTTCTGAGTATTTATATAATTTGTCCTAAGACTGAGCTGTGGATACGTGGGGTTTACTTCCTTGCTTCTTGTTTTTTATTAATTGGTCTTTGCTACAGTACACTGGGACTTTACTGCATATGCAACTGTTGACATATTTCAAGAAGTTATGAATATGATTACATGGGGAAATTTTTTTGACGAGTGTTTGGTGCAGATATGGTGATGTTCTTTTTATGATTCAGCTCATTCAAATAATATTTATGCTGTTCTTTTATGAGTTCTAAAACAAGAAAAATACTTATCATTATGAAAGATGTTTGGTAATGTTACAGTTGTCTACCTACAGAATAAAAGCAGAGAACTCTTCTCACTTGGGATTTTCATTTTATCAGTTTCATAAGATTTTCCAGTGGGAACTACGTCAGAAAATTGTGTAATATATGATTCACAAGCTTTTTTATTGTTATTATTTATTGCCTGTGCTCTTTCCAATTGGATTGGGAATATTTGCCGGAATGGATCCCTTTTTATGTGTAGTTGCATATTTTTTTACTGTGTCAGAAACATGTTTTCATATTTAGATCACTATATGGTATATAACTATAGGTTTGACGCCAGACACAATCAATTGTTCTTTTGGTTTTCTTTCTTGAATGGAGGGCTTATTGTCTCCTAGTTTCTGAACTGAAAGCTTAACTGCTTTTCCTTTCCAGAACGTTTTGTTTTGTCTTTAAGAATCATAATTGATTTATCGCATTACCTTTATCTCGTATTCTCTATGCAGGAACCAGTTGTTCTTGGTCATGGCGAATTCCAAGGGGTCAACAGACATAAGAGATTTGATCTTTTCTGGAAAGCATGCTTTACTTCCACCAAAAAGTCCATATCCTACAGTTTCCCAAACATATATTGATCATGACCTCAACAATGTAAATGGATCAATTCAAAATCCTAGAGAGGGAAATACACACCACCTGCGCACATCCTCTGAAAGTTTTCTGATAGAGGAACAACCCTCTTGGCTGGATGATCTTCTTAATGAGCCAGAGACACCTGTGCGCAGAGGAGGTCATCGTCGTTCATCCAGTGACTCTTTTGCATATAATGATGTATCTAATGCTTGTAACCTAGATTATGCAGCACAGGAGGAGTACAGATATAAAAATATCATTTCTGCACCTTCTTGGGCATCTCTGGAATATGATTATCACAGTCAAAAAGATGCCCAGCTTCCTGCTTTCTTCACTGATGTGAACTTGGTCAAGCAAAAAAATAGGGCATGGGATTCATCTTTGAATCCCGTGACTCATCCGAGTGGGCATTCTTATCGTAGAGAAAGCACCATTCTTCAGGGTACAGGATCATCATGTGCTCAAAAAGTAGAGAGTGTTCCACCAACAGCGAGTGAAAAACAAGATTCTATTGGATCTGCCCTTCTTGATGCAAAAGCTTCTTCTGAGAAAAAGGATAATTCTTATGCTAAGTCTTTATCTGACAGTGATTCAAAACGGGCAAAGCAGTGAGTAGCCTATTTCATTGTTCCAGTTGTTGGGTTTGTATTACCATCATGATGGAGTATTGCACAACAGTTTCCTTGCATGGCTGTGTCTGCCCTTTTTTTACTTGTATCTTTTTTCCTGCATGTCTTAGTATCTTTTTTCCTGCATGTCTTAGTATCTTTTAAAAGTTACATTTTATGAGCTCAAGGAATGTGGTTGCTGGTAATGTAATTAATTACTTTTTTCTATTGATCAAATTGACAAGGAGCTTGTCAATTAATTTCCAATGGGATTCGGAAATGATGCTAGGATATAGATCTGCATGTTCCCTACGGTGCATCAATTAGATGTTTCTTGTGGTTGCATTCCTTTCCTGTTGGCTTCTGCTTTTCTTGGTTTTGTACCTCTTTCTTTTGCTGGAATTTTTCAGTTAAATATTTTCCACAAACCAGATAGATTTGTATTTGGCTTCCTCAAATCCTCTTTGAATAGTCAGTCATACAGAACATGAGGAGGTTACTGATGCTTGACTGTACTCTGGATTGCATGTTTTTCCTGCATAAGTACACACTAAAGGATAACATCAATACATGTTCTTATGGCTTCTTTTTCCTTAAAAGGAATGAAACTCGTTAATTCTCTTCAAAAAAAGTTTCATATTGGCGTAGCTTGTGGTTAGTTCAGCTGTTATTTCTTTTTTTTTTAATAACCAGTGACTATTTTTTCCCTGTGAATGTGATTCTTGAAAATTTTATCAGAATAGATATTTGGTTATTATACCAACATCAGATATTGGTTGAAAATGTTTAATCACTGCACTTATGTTACCATCTATTGTAGGCAGTTTGCTCAACGCTCAAGGGTGCGCAAACTTCAATACATAGCTGAGCTGGAAAGAAATGTTCAAGCTTTGCAGGCAAGATTTAGTTGAAACTTCATCTTTTCAACATTTACTTATTTTGCAAATTGACATGTCTATGAAATATTACGTCTTACAATGAAGTGTTAGCCTGTTCCTCAACAGGCCGAGGGATCTGAAGTTTCAGCTGAGCTCGAATTTCTCAATCAGCAGAATCTTCTTCTTAACATGGAGAACAAAGCTCTTAAACAACATTTAGAGAGTTTAGCCCAGGAGCAGCATATCAAACATCGTAAGTATCTAACCCTTGACCTCTAAGTCTATAATTATATGCTATTTTTCTTCATTAAATATTGCATAGCAACCTTGTTTTCCCCGCTGGGTTATAATTATTTGTTTGTAGTCCCCGTATATATTGGCAATATGAGGGGGTCTTAACTCTTAAGATCCATTCAGCCCCCCCTCACCACCCCCCCCCCAAAAAAAAAAAAAAAGTTGCTATTGCCTATCAGAGGAAAAGCAGTATAGGCAGTAGAAACTTTAACCAAAAAACTGCTGGATAGTTGATTTGAGGTAGTTTAAGTGAAATGTATTCCTTCCTCTGCCCAGTTAAACTATAACTGTCTTGTTATTCAGACATGGATATGAATGTCGGATATAGATATAAATCCAATGCAGGTATGCCAATTTTTCATATTTTTTCCATGTATTTGGAAGGTCCTTAGAGGGTCATATCCTGTACAGATGTTTAAAAATGTGTTGGACATGGTGCCAACATGTGTACAATAATATCAGAGCAAAATAGAATTGTGACATTCGATATTTTATGGTATTTAAAAAAAACTTTTGAACTTTATTATTTTAAATGCCGACTAATAGAATATATTTCAAAAACTACTTCATTTGCAGATTTTAAATTGTATTTTTTTTTCATTCTTAATAATAAATATAAAAAAAAGAGGCTTGGGAGGACAGGCTCCTTTCATGATGCGTTGGGTGTCTTGTTCTGAACAGTATCATTTTAGCTTAAACCGAATTCCATTGAATGAAGACTAAATTATGCATTCGTTGTGTTTCAGTTGAGCATGAAGTATTGGAGAGGGAGATCGGTAGGCTTAGAGTCTTGTACCAGCAACAGCGGCAGCAGCAGCCATCTTCATCATCTAGCCATCGACGCTCCCGCAGTAGAGATCTTGAATCCCAATTTACAAACCTCTCTCTGAAACACAAGGATGCCAATTTAGGTCATGACCCTGAGCCTTCCCCACTCCACTAATAAATCTTTTAATTTATACCACTGCCATTGCCGACCAAATTTTGATGTTTCATTTGTAGCAGGCTAAAGCAAAGTTCATCAGCCACCGTGACTTAGCTTCTCTTTATTTTATTTGTCAGTCGGCTCTTAACCCTTTTTTACCCCTTTTAACATCTTCATGTGCAGCACCTGGTCATTATTGCCATAAAATTGTCTTTATTATTCTTTTTGCAGACATATGATTCACCTGAGGAGGTTAACATAAGAGCAGGTTCCATGTTTCACTTTGACTCCCTCGTGTGTCTTGTATGTTCATCAATGGTTATGATTTAGATATTTTTTTATATGCCCCATCAATTTCTGAGTATCAACGTTAGTGCTGAGATCTTTAGGATGTCTGGATGTGCATTATTTTTGTATTGCATAACGGAAGGGAAACATTTTTCTTGTAAACTGTTTTTAATTGAAAATTCATGATTTCTCTTTGGCTTCTGTTGGTATTTGCTTGTATAAAAGAGGTTAATTAGTTCAATTGAAAGATTTAATAATTTAAAACAATTTTAACTTGGAAAATAAAATAATAATAAATTGGTTATTGATTTTCTAATGATTGGCCCATATAGGACTCATTGAGTGGCCTCAATAATAAAAGAAATATTATTTTTCTTAGAGGATTCAATCATCTGTAGGAGTTTTTCTTAGTTTGTCCATGTATTTGTAATATAAAATCCGCGATATACTTGTACTAAAAACGTGCATGGATATGAAGAGTTAAAGAAATGAAGTGTTGACGTGGCTTATGAATGGGCTTTTTTCTATTATCGTCTTCCTGCTGTATACATATTGGTTACGTGGCTAATAGTTGTGTCAAGCTTTTCAGATTGGGGTGTAATCGACCAAGTTCCACTGACTATAATTCTTCAAGATACTAAGATTATTCACAGTAACCATCACCCGCCATTATTCCTTCAAACTTTGTGTTCACATGCGAATGAGAATGGACTCTCATTGACCACATATGCATTCAAAATCGTATTGTCTGGTCATATAACTACTATCATATCATATTGTATGATATCTAGTCATGGTACATGTATGTGTCCCATACTCGAGCTGTATTTATTGTGATTAAGAACATGATAAATGTTAGAATAAATTATATTATATACAACTAAATTTTAGGTAATCTATCATTTATATAATTAAACTTTCAATTTTATCAATTATAACACTAGAAAATGAAAATATCATTAATCGTTAAATCATTAAAGATAAGATGACATGACTGATGGAACACCACATTAAAACGATATTTAATACTCAAAATAGACTAAAATGGTATCGTTTTGTTGAACAAAATTAAAAATTAAACATTGCTCATCATAAGAGTCAAAACAAGACTACGTACTCCTTAGAATTCAAAACTCATGCTTGACTAATAGAATAAATTGAATTTTTGAAATAATTCTAACATAAATAATATATATTCTAAAATCTTAAATAACTCAAGGACTAAACACAAATTTTACTATTATATTTTGTCTCTCTGCATTTCGTCTCCCATCTCCGACCCCCTCCCCTTGATCCGGTGTGTTGCATTATCTAAATTAGCAATCAAATGTTTTACTTTAGAATATTTGGAGGACCTTTTATTGTAATAAACCTAAACCGCAAAGGGTTGATGATGCAAATATAATAGAATAGGTTTGGTCTGACCCGACCCGACCCGACCCGACCCGACCCGATGTCCCAAAGCGTTTAATTTGCTTACCATTTGAAAGTCGATTGCCTTCAAACCGTCATGGTTTCGTGGTCAATTTTCTACAGAAAACAGCCGCAACACCCCTCGACTCTCATCACCTTGAAGCTCCAACTATCCTGTACATTCAATTCCAGTAAATCAAATCCAAATATAACCTTTTTTAGTTTGTAATACAAACTTTTTATTCTTTTTGTTTCCTATATACGGACTTCTAATTTGTTCTTCGCCTATTGATACTAAAAAAGAAAAGAAATGGAAGATGCCAAGAACCCACCACCACAACAAATGGTATCTTCAGAAAAGGATGAACTAGGAAACGAAGAAGAATCCAAGGTGGAGAAGCAACGGCCGGCTTCAACTACAGCGCCAAATGGTGGAGGAGGATGGGGCGGTTGGGGTTTCTCTGCTTTCTCTCTTCTCTCAGATCTCCAAAAGGCTGCCACCGTTGCCGCTGAGGAGATATCTCGCAATGTACGCTTCATTTTTATATCCCTTAATATTTTTTGTGTTTATCCCTGTATGGGTTTTCGTATTCCAGATAAAGATTGTTTATTTGATTTTGTTTAGATATTTGGGTTTGAGCCAATTCAGACCTTGTTTAATTTAATAGGTTTTTGATACTTTGGAAGCTTTATTAACTATGACTTTAGTTGTTAGAGATTTTTGGTGTTGATGAATTAAGCCTTACTTTGTGTTTGATACGTGAAGCATTGGAAGTATAGGAAGGGGAAAATGAAGCTCATTGTTCAAAGACCTAATCTTGTATGGAAATTCACAGCCTAGGTGCTGGGTTTGAAAATGCTGATGTGGTCATTACTCATTAGTCATTACATAACAAAAAAATCAACTGCAGTAGAGTTACTTGCTGTACCTTTTTCAGGAACTCGTGTACTGATAATAAAATGGTTATGTCCATAACTCAATTTGATTATGTGAAAGGAAATATGTGTTATTTATCTATAACGGATTTTTTTTTTCATTTTAGGTGGAGCCTTTTGTGATTTGCTTTGCTTTTAATGCATTTTGTGAAAGATGTAGTTCACTGTTTGAGGACCTTACAAGTTGCCGTTATATGCTATCGCCATTCATCCATTATGTTAGACCTGCTGATTGTAAAAATATCACCAGTTTTCACGTAGATACTAGATGCTGTCATTATTACTGAAATTAGGTTCCATAGGAAGAATTCTATTCACTATTATTGGTGAAATTGGTCCCTCCCATCATTTGAAAACAAATCTTGTCAAAGTTGCAACAAAGTCATTTTGATTAAGAAATCTGATTTCAATATTTACTTTCCTATTTGGTTGATGGAACTCTTGCATTTAGTTTTTCCTATGCTAACCATTACGGTTTTATCCTTAGTGAAACTGGAAGTGCTGAAAAGGAAAAATGGTATAACAATATTAAGATCAAATGGTGCATGCTTCAGGTCAATAATTCTCATATTGTCACTGTTTATTAACACTTTCAGCTGATGTATTATGAGTTTTGTTTTGTATGTAGGATTTAGGGAGTGATGTGGCACCTTTAAACGTTTCATATGGTTACTTGAAGCTTTCTTGTTTGCAGTAGTGACAATTCTTTTAATGATCAAGAAATATCCAGAATAACATGAACTGATAATTATTGGAGTTATATGTAGTAGCTTCTTATTTAATGATCATAACAGGCTGTTTTCAATCTTGTTAAGCATTACTTTCTGGATGCAGGCTTCTATGGTTGCAGAGAAGGCTGCAAAAAGCCTTGCAGATGTGCAAATTGCTGAAGACTCAGAGTCTTCAAAGGCAGAAGAAGAAGAAGAATCACCAAGTGAAAAAGAAAGTGAAGATGAGAATGACAAGCTACAAAAGTCTGCTCTGGATAATTTAGAGAAAGCAAGTGACGATTCTTTCCTTGGCCAGGCAAGTCATTTTATCCATTTTGATATCATATGTATACTAGTACTTGCTGCAATATTCTGGATTGATGGCAATGTTTTTTGGGCTTTGTTTCTGCAGACACACCAATGTATACTGTCAGTTTCACCATATCATTGTGCTGGACTGGAACAGGAATCAATAGTTTGATTTTTGATTTGTTATGTCCTACTTTCTTTGGTTGCAGGGTTTGAAGGTTCTTGATAACTCTATTGAAAATTTTGCTTCTGGGGCGTGGCAGGCACTAGGGAGTGCATTCAAAGGGGGTAGCAATTTAGTGCAGAAGTATGTTTCATGTTTTTCAATACAGAGTCCGGTTTTTAAATAATTAGTTGATTCGCTGGAGCGAACAAAGAAAAAATAGAGCAAAAAGGATTGATCCTCGGTAATTGCAATTTGCAAGGCATCTTCTTAAAAAAAATTGGAAGTCATTTAGTGCTAGCATTTTTAATTTCTAGACCAATGGGTCCAGAGTTCTATCATCATGGAATATCTTCTTGTATATTGGATCTTCCCTCTCATCTGCAGAAGATGTGACATGACTATTTTCAAGACATAGCCACTACTATTCTGCATGAGACTCTGTAGAATTTTCCTGCCATTTAGAATATTCAAGTGTCGAGTCTGGTTAGATGCTTTCTTCTATAAATGTGATCTTTAAATTCCCAGATAAACAACTGAGCACCATATGACGTTGCTTGATTTTCCGCTTTTTATAATTTCCCTCTATTTTGTCCTGATGTTGTAGTATTTCACAATTGTTGTCATAGAACTCAAGAAATAGATATACTCATGAAACAATTTTCCTCTAGTAAGTTTTTTCTCACTTTTATTTTCTAGGCTTGAGCATTCTGCTGTAAACATTGCTGATTCTATTCAGCATGGAGGCTTACCCGCTGGTTCAGTTCCACCATCATTAATTGAGGTTTTTCATAGTGCAGTCATTATCCTGTTTGGTAATGTTACAATGATCTCTTATTTCTCATATTTGTTTTGCAGACTGGAAAAGCCTTTACAACGAAGGGAATGCAAGTGCTTGAATATGTGGGAAAAGAAACTATGGATCTACTGATCAGTGAAACTGGTATAGAAGTTGAAAACAATGCTAAGGGCACCGAACAGCCTTTTGATGAGGATCAGTTGATAGAGGAAGTTAGCTTTGATCGGTGCTTCTACATATATGGAGGTCCAGAGCAGTTGGAGGTTAACTTCTTATCCTTGAAGTTGATATTTGATGATTGAAAATATTTTATCTTTCAAATTGATGAACTATAATGCTGTCAGGAACTGGAATCATTGTCCAGCCACTATGCCCTTCTATTTAATCGGAGGAAAACAAAATTATCACCTGAACAAAAATCCGTGTATGAGGGAAAGCTTAAACAAATCCAAAAAATTTTCAGTTTAGATGCTGAAATGGATGGAACCGGTCCAGAGTCTGCCAAAGGAAAGAAAATAGAGACTGGAACTGAGGGCAGTCATGATGAGATGAAAATTTTACATGATTCAAGTGTCAGCAAGGCCGCTGATATGGCTGCCTGGTAAATTGTTGAACACAGTTTTTTTTTTTCATTTATCTTAGCTCAGAAAATTTCTGCTCCTAGGTACTAGTGGCTAATAGCTATAAAATGCAGTTCTCTGATTGTCTGCTCTACTTATAGGTATTTTCTATTTGGGACTTCCTTCAGGACCTCATCTAGTTCCAATTATAAAATTGAAATTTCCTTCAACTGGTCTGAGTTGATTTTGTTTGTTTTCACATGCTCAGTTGCCTCTCCTCAAATTCATTTTCATCCTCTCACATTTATGTCTTACACATGCTTTGTAATACACAATGGTGGATTTTCGGGTAACATTGTTTATAGGCTTAATTCACTTTTAGGTGCCTAAACTATACCTCAAATTAACTTTTGGTGCCTAAAGAATTTTTTGTTAAAAATAGGTACTTAATGTTTTCTCCGTTATACTTTTAGGTGCCTACTGTTAAAAAAACTTTTAAGTGACACGTCATGTATATATATATATATTTATTTTTTAAAATAAATATTTTTTTAAAAAAAGTGGACGTAACACATGCCACTTAACGGTTATTTTAATGTTACACCTAGAAGTGTAAAAGAGAAAACATTAGGCACCTATTTTTGACAAAAAATTCTTTAGGCACCAAAAGTCAATTTGAGGTATAGTTTAGGCACCTAAAAGTGTATTAGCCTATGCATGGTTACAAGTGTTTTGAGTTTTTGCATCTAACTGTGTAGGGTTTCTTCATCCAGTTTGAACTCTGAACTAGCAACACATTTTGTAGTATTATAAACTGTTCTTTTCCTTATAAGCATAGTATTACATGAGATTTATGCATCTCTATTGTTGATTCCACAACTTTTACAGGTTCACAAATGCATTGTCAGGATTAGTCGTTAATGATGTAATTAAAAAAACCGGTGGAAGGCTAGAGTCACTGCACTCAGAGGGGGTTCATGTATTGAGATATTTTCAAATTCTTTTGAACATTTTGATGATTCTTTTGGGATATGATATTTATTTTTTGAACCTATAAAATGACTGCATGGCAATGCAGAGGCTTTCAGAAATGTGCTGCTTAGTGATGTCTCATCTCCTGATGCTGGGTAAATCTGTCATATCTGGTTCTAACAAACTTCAAGATGAAGATGCTGATGGCAATATGATGCATATCGACTGGCCTGAAGATTCGGTTGAGAAGGCTAAACTAATCCGACTAAAAGCACGTTCTATGACAGGATATGTGGAAGCTGTAACCAGCAGCTTTATCACAGGTTAGTTCCCTTATACTTCGTTCTTATCAGTTATATCATATATGTTTATGACGGTACCTATGAGCACTAATAATGAGGATGATTATCTTTTAAATTTGTTCTTCAGGCATATCTGATGTAGCTGAAGCTTATGTAGCGGCCATTAAGAGTGCTAATGCAGATCCACATGAAGCACTTTTAAAAGCTTCAATCCAGGAGAAAGCTAGTTCCTTCTCCGAACATCTCCGGAGTGATCAGACCATTGCTGTGAGCAAAATCCAGGATGGACTCCAAAATTTGTCATACGCAGTCCTTTCGACCTCAATGCCGACTGCTTGAAGACTGGAATTCTCTACATGTCTGATCAGCGTGCATGTAATGTAAATAGTCTTACTAAACTTGCTATGCCACACTAATGAAACTGAACTCATTTTTAAGCAGGGGTTAAAGCAGTTTCTTGTGTGTTAAACTGAAATGTTCAACAGACCATTTACACGTTAAGGATCAAATGAAATTCAAATATCATATTGTTTTTTACGGATTTGAATGGCTTCAGGAAATTTCTTGTTCTTGATTCTATGTTTACTTTTCTGGAATTTGTTTTTACTCAACCTGTCCATTTATCTTGTCACTTGTTGACAAAATTACGGATTTGAAAGATCTTTAGGATCAATGAATATTACAAAAATAACCTTTTGACTTTTGAGGATCAATGATTTCATTTAGATCACAAGTCCCTTTTGCTTTGAAGTTTCTTCAATCTTTTCCCCCAGAACCCAACCCGGAAACATGTATGAAAATCAGAAACTGGTGATCTTAATTTCACTCGTGATTTCCTACTTTCCCTCCATGGGTCTGGGACAAGCAAAGCACTTTGTGCTGGTTCATGGGTCTTGTCACGGTGCATGGTCATGGTATAAGGTGGTGCCACTGCTAAAATCAGGCGGCCACAAGGTCACCGCCATAGACCTGGCAGGGTCAGGTGTTGATCCACAGCAAGTGAACACTCTCAGATCCATCTCTGATTACATCAAGCCTTTGAGGGAATTCATGGCATCCCTACCTGATAAGCAAAAAGTGGTCCTTGTTGCTCACAGCTTAGGTGGTCTGGCCATCTCCCAAGCCATGCAAATGTTCCCTGAAAAGATCTCTGTAGCGGTTTTTGTCACTGCCACCATGCCGGGACCAACACTCAATGTTTCCATTCTCATCCAAAAGGTACGCATGGTTATCTATTTGATTTTTTTTATTAATCTAGAATGATTATAAGTGATAGTATATGTTTTAGAGATTTTAAATCATTCAATAATGAACACTTAAATACCCTACAATTGTTGGTGTTCGAACTCGGGATCTCTAGACATAATAATCATCCTTTTTAACCATTGAGACAACTTGATTCGACATCAATTTGATTATTAAAGAAATTATGTTAGTATTTATAAAATTTTTAATGTTTTTATTGTGGATGATGGGGGATAGAGAAACTTGTTTAAAGTCCTTGGTTGGTTTTTTGTTGCAAGGCATTGAATGATCAAGATTCCCAAATGGACAACCATTATACATATGATGGTGGCCTTCCAACCACCTTCACTTTTGGTCCGATGTTCCTTTGTTCTAAAGTCTACCAACTCAGTCCACCTGAGGCAAGTTATCATTGGAACCATATAAGACTCCTATTATTACTCGGTTCATTAGGTTTGGTCTATTTGGGCCGAGTTTTAGATATAGAATTCGATAAACACGAGTTATTAAAAAAATATAAAATTTGAATAAGTATTCGTAATTGAGATCAATTCATTTGAAATTACTATATATTTGTTCGCTAACCAAATGTCTGAAAAAATATTACAGGATTGTGTATTGGCGAGTATGTTGATGAGACCGATACGTTTGTATAATGAAGAAGACATGTCAAGAGAATTGGTACTCTCCCAAGAGAAATACGGGTCGGTTAATCGGGTATTTATAATTTCAGAAAAAGACATGGTCTCAAAGGAGGATTTTGTACAGTTGATGATCCAGGAAAACCCGCCCCATCTAGTACAAGTTATCAAAGGATCCGATCATATGGTCATGATGTCCAAGCCTATACAACTTTGTAATCTACTATTATGCATTGCTAAAAGATACAATTAATAAATTATATATTTAGTGCTTAACATTCATCACTTTTATCATTTTAGCCTTTACGATGGTTCTTCTCCTAACCCATTTCATAGAGAATTTGATTTGTTTGCTATAGCTCGTTTTCTCTATGGAAGCACGTCCAGTGATTGTCTTGACAATAAGATCAATATTAGGCTCATATGAAGTGTCTAACATCAAGGAAAAAAATGTAAACTACTTAAATGACCATCCAACTATGGAATTGGTCTAGAAATGACCATCATTTTCAAATTTGTGTCAATATGACCACTGAACTATTTAAGTTGTATCATTTAAGCCATCTACCGTTAAAGTCTAATATAGGGATGATGTGATAATTAATAGAAATTTGTATAATTATACATTTGATCCTCAATACTTGTATATTATACTAATTTAGTCTTACTTTAAATTTAATTTTATAAATTAATCCTTTAATCAGGAGGTAACACGTGTTAATAGATGGTCATGACAAGGTTTTTTTAAACTTGGGTTATCTAGGATGAAATTAAGGTGCCGAAATCATTGAGTCAACAACTACATTTGGTTCGGTAATTACACCACCATTTATTTATCCCATAATATTAGTAGTAATTAAAAAACATAAAAATACTCATATGATATTTAACTTTTAATATTTTTATATTTGATTAATTTTAATATATTTTTTTAAAATTAAATTCAATTTTTTTATATTTTTAAACAAAAATTTATGAAAGAAATTATGTAATATAAAAAATAAAAATATTTTTATAAATTTTAAAAAATAAATTTTATATTTTTAAATAATTGAATTTAATGTAAAATTTAGAATTAAAAAGAAAATTTATTTCATACTTTTATTTTATAAAAAATTAAAAATATTTAATACAAAAATAAAAAAATAATAATTTTTAAACAAAAAAAATGGAAGAAATCATGTAACTGTCACTGACCACACCTTAGGGTCTGAGATTTTGGCACTATTGCTCAGAAAGGGGTTATGTGTGTGCAGACTTGGGTCTGTCATAGGCCAAGCTTACGTTGACCAAGTTCTTAGAGAATGCTTACGAGCCTGAGAAGGATCATTTTTTAGGGTGCTCGGGAGAATTGACGAGGGTGTTACATATTCGATGGGGGCAATTTGGTCAAAGTTCATGGATTCGAACCGAGACATGTACGCAAATTTCTATAGAAGAGTTATGCAGAGTATTGGCCTTGCCCAGAACCATAAGACTTGGCTCGTTCCTTAGAAGTTTCCATAGTGGATAAGATTATTTTTTAATTTAAGTACATAAATACTTAATTCAAGAGATAATGTTGTTTGAATTTTAATTCCTTAAGATAGAGTTTTGATAGGATTGGATTCAATGTAAGTCGTTGATGTACTTTAATCTAGAACGTTGGCTTTTAAGGGTCTCAAATAGATAAATAGAGAGTTCATCCCCTCATTTGTAATCATCAATTAGAAATTTTCTCTTGAGAGAGTGAAAAAACTTAGGCATTTACTCTTGAATTCTTCCTTGTTTGTAGCCTTTGTTTCTAGTTTTCTAGTATTTGTAGCTTTGTTACTTAAGCTTGTTAGCTTGCTTTCTCTTTGTGATTAAGCCTTTGTGGCTTCTGTTGCCGATCGTGAAAGCAGAGCAGCCTCAAGAAGGTGTATTTTCCCACAGCTCTTTCGGAGTTCTAAAGTGAGTTAAGTATTTTTTACTCAGAGAGTTTCGACAGTGCTTATGCTTCCCAGAGTTATTCTTTCGTGGTGGCTTGGATTAACCACATTGGTGTTTAGTTTCCGCTGCATTGGTCTAACCCTGACAGGTTACTGTGTCGCTTGGTGAGCCCGAAACTCATAAGGATGTAGTGAAGGCTGAGTTAGAGATTCTTTCAACTTAGAAATCATCTAAGTGCTGCATGAATCAACTAGTATAAGTATAACCCCATGACAAGTGGTATCAGAACGAGTCATTGTGATAAGACAACAAGCGTTCGAGTGGTGGGAAGTGATAACAGAGCTTGTTTCAAGACAAGTGGTCGGAAAGCATATGAGCATATCAGAGTGTGCTGGCTCGAGTCATTATGGATTCAATGATTGTTCCAGCTTGTTTGGGGAAAGTGTGATCGATATGGCGTAGAAAAAGGATGTACACACAGAGAATATCTTGGAGAGCCATGGCGATGCTGGTAGGGTCATGATAAAAAGACAAAAAATGGAAGAAGTCGTAAGATCGTTGGAGATGTGGATCAATAGCCTTGAAGGATTCTTTGAAGAAGCCAAGGAGATCCAATGAGTTTTTGAATCATGTCTTGAACAATTAGAAGCTATAAAAGATGGGTTCAAGGCCGTGATGAGTAATGTGCTTAGGGATGAGGTAGTAACTTTGAGGGAAGAGATAGATGGGCTCAAGAGTGAGCTACTCATGTGCAAGGGGCAATGAGTAAGTGTGGGACGTGTAAGACCTTCTTGGAAGGACTTAGACCAGGGGTGATGTTGGGAGTTAAAGCAGAGTAATGCCCAGAGTTGTTCGAAAGCCAGAGTTGTTCAAAAGCCGGAGCTTTAGTCGAGTCACGGTTAAAACTTACAGAAGTCAAGTCAAGAGATAATGAATCGTCCAGACCCATGCCTAGTGATAGGGATGAAAATGGGGGATATCACGATAAGAGACAGTGGACAGATGACGAAGAAAGCTCTTCGAGTGACTCAGAAAAGTCATCAACCGATCATGATCAGAACAAGTCATCATGGAATCATGACAAGACCAAGTTTGCGAGTAAGAAAGTTAAGCCTTTGAAATGCTACTTTTGTGGTTGTCCTCATTTGATTCAAGGGTGTCTCGAAAAGATTCACCTTGTTGCACTCGTCAAAGGTAAAGACGAGATAGAAGGAGGAGTAGTCAAAGATGATGAGATTGCTATAGATAAAGCAATGAAGCCAGGAGCTATGCTCGGTGTAAATGTGGGTGGTAAAGTAGGAAAGTCGAGAGTAAATAAGCGCGAGCCATTGAAGTGTTTTCTATGTGAGGGACCACACAAAACCATTAGTTGCCTGAATGGGATAGAACTCGACGCGAATGCAAACGGTGAAGTAGAAAAGCTAAGGGTAAAGAAATAAGAGTCGTTGAAGTGTTTCCATTGTCAAAGAAAACACAAGGTACGTGATTGCACAGATAAAGAAAAGCTCGACGCAAAAGAAAATGACCAATCATGAAAGTCGATGGTAAATAAGCCAAAGCAACTAAAGTGTTTCCGGTGTAAAGGTACACACATGGTGTGAGATTTCCTAGATTAAGTCAAACAGTTTAAGTGAAAGGACAATGTCAAGAGTAGTGAACCTACTAGGCTTGGTTCAATGAAGTTAATTTCTGCTAAGTCAAGTAAAGGTCAAGAGTAGAATAGTTTGTCTAAACTAGAAGTTGCCAAAGAACTTGCCAAGGAGATAGACATCACTGTGGAAATTGGAGTTGACTTAAGGCCAAAAGAGCCTGAATCATTGGAGGAACATTTGTCCTCAATGCTTTTTGAGAGTGAGGCACAGTCTAAGTTGATGAATCATAAACATGATAGGATGCTGAAAGAGTATGTGATTCAGCTCATGGAACTCATGCTCAAAGTCCCAGAGTTAATTGAAGAATATAGGTTCTTCACCTTCATAGAGGGATTGAAGCTGTGGGAAAAGTCAAAGATGGAGAGAATGAGAGTCAAGATATTGTCTCAAGCCTTGAAAGTCACATAGTCAATCATAGAAATTAGAGTCAAGAAGATATCCAAGCCAAAGAAAGTCGTGGGTCATAGCAAAGTAATATATGTTAAAGGGTCATCGAGAGATAACGAGAGAGGTTCTCTTAGTGGAGGCGGAAGTCCTCTGAAAGTAGATGTAGCCATTAGTGAAGATGACAAGTATGAACTTGGCACAAGTAAAAGTGACAAGTGTCATAAGGCGATGGTAAGAGATGAGTAATCGGAGGGTCAATGATGTAAGGGGGCAAATGAGATGCAAGCTTGCCTGGATGAAGCCGAGTTGTCCAAAGGGATAGATGAGTCCAGGATTAAGGCATCCAAGGAGAATAATGTGCCCATGATCGATGAGGTTATGCGACTTGGCACAATGATCTTCAGTTCTGCCAAGGCTAAGGGAGGTCAGAGGCAGAGAGGGTAGATGTTTGTTAACATCACTATTTGGGACGATTGGGATTTGCCTTAGTATATATGGGGACATCCGATCTATTCATATTGAAGGAGGCTATTGAAAAACTTGATTTCTCAGTTCAACCTTCAAAGTTGAAGATCAAGACTATTAATTCTGAAGAGGTTTCAATTATTGGATTGACAAAGAGGGTATAGTTGCAAATTGGCGAATGGAGTGGTAAGGAAGTGTTCCAAGTAATCCCGATGGATGACTTTAATTTTGTTATTGGGGTGGGTTTTCTTGATCGAATTTGTGCTTTCGTCTTTATCAAGGTCAATTCAAGATGAGAATGGAGAAACTAAGGCTTTGACAACTATTCAGTATGTTGATGTTACGAGTGAGAAAAACATTACTTTTTGGACTACCATCAGAGAAATAACCAAGGATGGGTTGATGGAGTCCAAGCCTTCAAGGGACATGGAGGAAGCTAATCTCTCCACCCAGTAGCGTGGTGGGAGTGGCACTGGGCTTCGAGGTGGGGGTGCCAGTATGAGTTGAACCAATGAACTTCAAGGTGGAAGTGTCGATGCTGGGAGTGTCAGACTTCATGAGCAAGAAGGGTTGACATAGAGAGTAAATGTGCTAAGGAGTAATCGAGGAATGTACATCTCAAACATTTTTTTCATTGTTGTTTAGTTTGATTTTCCTTGTTGATAGGTGTAGGTCGAGGACCTAAACAGCTTTGCGGAGTATCCAAGTTTTTACCGCTAGATGATATGCATCAAAGTTTAGGTGAATACAAACGGATATGATGAATTTCCTACACTCGAGATGTATGTAACAAAATGTTAGATCGTGTTGAGTCATAACAGCATGAACCAAGGCATAA